ATAGTCTATGAGGATAGTTTTAGGAAAGATGTGAGAGAGCATGTTGGCACTGCTGCTAAAACCAATGCAGACAGAATCTTGTAAGTGACTTTACATGTGTAACTACATCAGCTTGATCTGATCAGAGATGAGCATCGATATCCTAATGTGTGTACCCACCATCGTCACTTAACAGGATTAGATTTATTAAAGATTAAAAGATAAAGATATAGTTAAATATATGTATTTTTATTTATATAATGATGATGAGTTGTTAATTTAGGTTTGTTCAAGTGCTGTATTTAAATGCTGTTAGACTCCCCAGAGTTATTTAGAAATGCCTGTAATTTATTATATTTCCTACCAACACACTGCCTAGAAAAATACTTGATCATCCTGGATGATCTAAATGAATGAAATATTTCCAAATAGAGCCATTTAAGTCGTATTCATATTGCGATATATAGGAGCAAAACAAAATATCGCAATGTCGTATTTTTCCAATACTGCGCAGTCCTAGATCTGATCAAAAGTGATCAGTAGAGATGTATTATTGTTTACACATGGTATTAACAGGCATTCAAATGAGTCTCTTGAGAGAATTGCTGCTTTTTTCTCCCTTTTTTAAAGCTTGGTGGCTAAAAGGGCTTGTGCACAGAAAATGTTCACTCATGCTTACAGCCACCCTTTCTTTAATGCTTCGTGCACTCCCTCAGTGGCAAACAAGATACTGGATGATAGTATGAACTGCTGAAAGAGTTTTGTTTTAATGGAAATTGATACCGCATGCCAAATGGAAGAAAAAAAACCTTCGCATTTCATGGTGTGTTTGTCTGTGGTCCTTTAATGACTCGGTAGGTACAGAGGATAGTGTCAAACCGCTGTGTATGAAATATCCTGTCGCGAAATGCAGTGAAAATCCTACACAAGTTTGATTGCAGTGTTTATATGTCTGTGCTGCACTTCAATAACGCGACTAAAGTCGGCATACTCCACATGTCTTAAATCAATTTCGGTTTAGTTTGATTTTTAATCGGATTAAATGAATCAATAATCGCTGTCTATATGCTAGACTCTTAATCAGAGTATTGTCTTAATCGTATTAAAATCAGAAAATCAGTGTCCATGTAAACGTACTCGGTGAAAAACAATCAGAATCTACCCTTCTGTAAAGCAGTGGATGACAAAACTGTAGGCAGACATAATAATAACACTGCACTGATATAATACAAAGTATAAACAGGAATCAGAGAGTGAAATTCAATACCCTTTAACACCTTTTTTAAGACTCTTTCCATACATTTTAAAACCCTATAACCACTTTTTAACCGTAAACAATGGCCAGATTTTAACTTACAGCATACTTACTAAATATTAATGTAAGAAATTAATTAAAAACTAAAACATTACTCATATACTGAATAAAACTCTATTAAATCTAGCTAATTCAGCAGGTTGGCGCATTCAGAACTTCAGAAATAATGGTGTTGCCTGAGTTACTGCAGTAAACAAAGCAGCATGATGTCAAATCTAGTAGGATTTCACTGATTTCATAAACTACGCAGCATCCTGATATTCGCAGATTATATTCAGGCAAACTTTAGCATACAACAATACACTGCATAATCAAAAATGATATTAAATGCAATACTAAATAGCATTGAAGACTTTTTAATACTTTTAAGGGCCTTGAATTTCGCTGCATTGATTTATCAACTTTTAATACCTTTTAAGACCCCGCGGATACGCTGTAATACATCTTCACCTCATAAAACAGTAACATTTTCTAATTAGCTTGGCTTTGGATCAAAGCTTTTTGTTTGATTCGTGCTCAGTGATATTTCAGGGTCAATTATGCTCGCTTAACAGAAAAAAGACATTTCTAAAACTCAGTTAATCCTACATTCCAGAAACATTTGCCCTCGTTTTCACACTTGCATTTCTCTTAAAACTCTTTGTTCACTGGTGCTCTGAAAAGGACATTAAACCTGACCATCTGGTCTCGTCCAGAATGGCCAAGGTAGTCAAATCTACACTTATGATGACTGCGGTTACTGTAATACAACTGGCGGGTGCACAGGGGATTAAAGGTAAACGGGAACAAACTGTAACTCGCACTATAGCACATTGACTTCCAGTTTACACAGTGTCTCATTGTACGCTGTCTGTAATTTTTGTCCATCCCTCAGATTGGCCTGAAGGCAACCAAAGCTAATTTAGCCCGTCTCTCTCAAGCTGTCACATGTTCTCTTCCTCTCGTTCTCCTCACAGGGGTGTCATTGCTGTTACGTAATTACTAGCTAGCGAACCCTTTGAAAAAGAGGAGTGTTTTTTGCTTCGTTTCTTTTCCATTCAGCCGAAGTTGCAATGCTTTTGGCATTCGGGATGACTGGAAGCATGACAGCAGGCTTCTTTCGCATCGATCCAGGCTCAGCACTGTTTATGGTCACAAAAATAGCGCAGACTTCAGTTATGACAGATCAGAACGACAGCTTGACAGCTTTTAACGCAACGCTTGAAATGGTTGTGTCAGGGTGACTAACACGGGGCAGTGTGGTCAATACAGGTGACCTGGAGAAAATCAAATACTGTGGGTGTAGAAAAGAGTGAAACGATTCATTTGGAGAAAAAAAAAATTAAGTAGAGCAGAAAAATTCATAAAAGGAGACATTTATGGTGGAAGTTTATGGGGCTACTATTTAAAATAGAACCACATCAAACAAACAAAAAATCTATATGATTTTCATGTGCAATTAAAAAAAAATGAATTCATTAAAATAAATAGTAAAAATATATTATATATTTACCCCAGTGCAATTAAAAAGAGAATGGGAGGTGGAACTGGAGACTGAATTATCAGAAGACATGTGGCAATCCATTTTAGACAATATTCACTCATCTTCAATTAGTTTAAAACAGAGTTTTACAAAGTGGTCCAAAGTGAAACTAGCAGTAAAGTCTAATTGCGACCGATGTAACGCTGAGCCTGCTCTACTATCTCATATGTTTTGGTCTTGTTCAAAACTAAAAGACCTATGGCAGCTAATATTTCAATTTCTCCCTGATGCATTAAATACGTACTGTATATAGAACTTGAGGCCATAATTTCAATATTTCATCTTACACCACAGTCTTTATGTTTTAATGAAAGTAAGATAAATGTGATTGCCTTTGCTACGCTTCTGGCTAGAAAGTTAATATTGCTCAATTGGAAGGAAAAATCTCCTCCAACCTTTAAGCATGGAACTTTTACACCACTTGACCTTAGAAAAAATATGATATACTGTAAGAGGCTGTACTGGTATGTTTTTTTTTTTTTTTTTTATTTGGCAACCTGATTTAGATCACAAAAAGACGATGGACCCTTAAGTTATTATAGAAGAGTACAACTTTTCCTTTTTATTTTTATTATTATTTTTTTCTTTTATACACATAAAAGTAAAATAAATTTTGCTTATTATTATTATTTAGTTGTATTTAATTTTAATATTATTAATATTTTTTTCTAAAATTTAAATGTACACATGTGCGACGGGTTTTGTTTTTTTGTTTTCTAAAAAAAAGTAAAAAGCTGGATATTTCATATTTAACATGTTCAATAGTAATTAACTGCATGTAAAATGAACGTTACAATGTTATGCCAAGACCTTAAAGAACTAAATAAAAACATTTACACCACTTTACTGATGAAAAAACACCTTTCAGTCTCCACAAAATTGCTAGCATTCACTTCCTAAATACAGATTCGTTTTTTCATAATAATAGTAATAGAAGCGCGGAACAAAACTGAAATATTGTGGAAGCAATTATGCAACAAATGCTGTTTATTGAGCTTGTAATCCTTTAGCATGAAAATAGGGAACAGAGAAGTAATACAAGAAGAACACAAGATTTCTCTTTTAACTGTGAATATGAATGTAAAACAGATTATTTAAAAGTACAAATAGTTTCATCCTCCAGAAATGTACTTTCATTGTTAGTAGGCATGGGACGATAACCTGTTTCAAGGTTTACAGCGATTAGGAAAAGTCAAGGTTTTAATTCCGCTAAAATGTTCTGCCATACAATTCCCAAGGTATACAGTATTTTTCTATTTATTTATAGATATTATGAAATAAGGCGAGGCAGTGGCGCAGTAGGTAATGCTGTCGCCTCACAGCAAGAAGGTCGCTGGTTCGAACCTTGGCTCAGTTGGCGTTTCTGTGTGGAGTTTGCATGTTCTCCCTGCCTTTGCGTGGGTTTCCTCCGGGTGCTCTGGTTTCCCCCACAGACAAGGGGTACAGGTGAATTGGGTAGGCTGAATTGTCCGTAGTGTATGAGTGTGTGTGTGTGGATGTTTAAAAACTTTCTGGATAAGTTGGCGGTTCATTCCGCTGTGGCGACCCCGGATTAATAAAGAGACTAAGCCGACAAGTAAATAAATGAATGAATGAATGATTATGAAATAAATTAGGAAGGCAACTTTAATGTAATACAGTTTGCTATATTTACTTTCACCCAGAGCTCTCAATCAAGCTTGGATTTTGTCCCTTCAATAGAAACGGTTTGTACACCCCCATTGATTTAAATGACTGGGATTTATTTCTACACATTTCTGAAAGAAATACAGGAGTCCAGTCAAAAACCCTGGTGAAAATTTCAGCGGTCAGGGCCAAAGTAAACAAGAAGTCGTTTTCACATTACTGCAAGAATGTAGAATATTTGTGGTCTTCAAATATTAGTCAAGCGATAGATGTTGACACTGCAATATTTTTGACACAACAGTCATTTCACAAAAGCTTGAATTACCTGATTTAATAGACTTTACTGAAACTGCTGCTTATAAAAAAATCTTATAATGAGTTTATAGATCCCCTGCGATTCCACTCGGCCTTTACTTTCCGTTCCTGTGGATCATTTCCAGGTTTCCAGAGCTATTATTCCACAATACTAATAAATCAGCCTCTAATCTCGACTGCCTCACATTAGCGGTGACCCTGCACACATGAAATAGACACAGCAAACAAAGCGAACGCGCTCACCGCTGTCCTTGCTGCTGTTCTCCTCAATGGTCATCTGTTCCGCCAGCTCCGAGAGAGACTCGTCGATCGTCTGGCTACCACGCAGGGTGAGCGACAAACGTCTCTTAAACCTCTTCATCCTCTCCATGGGCCTCTGAGGCAGGGGGGGCCTGTCGAAACAAACGCACACACTGGGTTAACATCATCAGCCTCTAAATATCTATCGGTCATACAACAAGGCCCCTTTTAAAGGCATTTATTATTCTGAATATTAAGATACACAGTTGCTCTTCTGGCTATGAGCAGAGTATGATGAAACTAAAGCCAATTACACTTTTGATATAGTACCACTAAGCTCAGTACTAGGAGCGCTGCTTTTTTAACCACTTAAACTCTGCGGACTCGGTACCGGGTCCGTGACGTCATTGACTTTCGCTTTTAGATTTAAAGGGCTAGCATTGCACCAGACCCCAGTAAGTGGGGGTCTGTTTGTCGTTTGAAAAGTGTAGAATCTATATTTTATGCATATATGCATCACTTTGATTTTTATTTTACTGTATAAAAGTTATTTACACTTAAATACAAAGTATTTTGGATACCCGAGCTAGGTATTTTACATTGGTTCATTTTCATATTTTTTCATATGACACATGTACAAGTTACAGCTCAAATGAAAGCTCTTGCTCATACAGTTCTAGCATTCTTTTTACTGAATTATATTCATATGCCAAACAGTTGTTGAATGAATTGTGGCGTTTCCATGGCGCAGAAATGTAAACAATACATTCATGATCAATAAGCAGCCCCAGATAGCACAGACAGCCGTCATCTCTTACCTTATGCTGTGCCCTTCAGGGCCATTCTCCTCTGTTTTTGAGGTGATGTGCATAAGTAATCCTTTTATATGTCTGATGTGGTCCAAACACAGTGAATTATGTTTGATCGAACAAAAGAATAGTGAAATATGTAAACAAGGATCGGTCTCTGTGGCTTGTACAGCACCTCTCATCAGTTGGAATGCAATAACTTTTGCATAGATCATGGTAGAGACCTTTTTCTTTTTTCCTATGATTACAGACATGTGCAGGAACCACCAAAATTAATTACAGCACGCTAGAGCACACAGAACCTAAAAGGTACACAAATTTGAGTTTATAAAAAAAACATAAAAAGCGCCTCTTTTTTTAGGGGTTTATTGTAACACAGACGACATATACAGTTATTTTAAACACTTTCAATAGTGTTTTATGAAAATTCAAAGGGTTTTCTTTAAAATGATACCAAATTTTTGCATTTACACCTCTGCATGTGGATTTGGGAAGCCTTTAAATTTGGGTAGGCAAAATCCAGGCGGAAATCCCCAAATAGCAGCAGAGTTTAAGTGGTTAACTTTCTCTTGATTGTTTTTTAGATTGAAAGAACAGAAAAAACACTTCAATTCTAAGTATTGCATGGTAAGTCGATATATTGATTATTGTGACAGGCCTACAACTCAGGATGAAAACAGATATTAGCCATAAGAGGGTTAATACACGTTTCATTGAGGCAATATACACCATGCTTTAGCTATTTAAAGTTTTAGCATTTTAGATTTTGCGTTTAATTTGAGCTTGTTCATGGAAATGCTAACTATCTCCATTTTAAAGTTGTGTGGTTTTCAGAGGATATCTATTAAAATTTACTGTACTTCTCTTCCAGGAAAGCAGACCAAAAATACTGTCGAGTCATGTTGTACGCACAGACGACGCAGACCAATAAAATGTTCACAAGAGAACATCTAATTCTGGTTTCTGACTAGCAAAAGCAAGTAACAGACTGCTGTTCGGTCTTTGCAGTTTTATCTTTGGCTAATTAGATATAGTGAATGAGTCTTCATTCACTTCAGACTGACTCATCATGACTATTTACAGAAATTTAAGTTCAAACTGGAAAAGAAATGCCTTTTAAATGGTTTCTTGCAGTCGTGAGAAACAGCACAGACCTATTTTGGTGTTTGCATTAGAAAGTTCTAACTGTGGCATGGGTTTTAAGGCGCACAGCAGGCATTTAAGACTTGCACGTGACTAGAATCTAAAAAAATATATATCATTAATAATCTAAGGCTTTAAATTAAAAATTCATAAGAGTGTATTCTGTTTTTATAGGCACTTCAACGCATGGTTCTGCATTATTAAAACACTCCCACATGCCATATTTCCCTTTACACCAATGCATTTTATCAGTACAAAAATTACATCAGATCCAAATAAGTAAAAAAAATAAACAAATAACTTGATCTCTTGCTGTCATTTTACACCAAGAAATAAAACTCACATGAACATGGATGCCTATACAGATATAAACTGTTACCATTATATACAAGAAAAACATGTACCCTCTATAACAACTCAAGGCCAAGTATAATGTTGAATTTAGCTTGATTACAGGGGTTAATAACTCACGCCACACCAAATAACTCACTATCAAATGTCAAATCGGTCATGCACTGCTTCTCAAAAGGCTTTAATGTGTGTGTGCTTGCAAATTTCTTGCAATACATGCTGACTGTGCACCGTTTTAGGCAGGAAACACCTTGTAATGGGAGGCAGCAGGACCCTTTCTGTCCATTGTATTAACACCGTCAGACTACACACACCCAAATCCACACAGGATTCGAAGGTTTGTTGTGTTCAAGTGAGGAACAAATTCAGTCCTTCAAGGTTTTCCTGGTCCATCAGAAGTACAGCACAAACTGATAACATTCAGCCCCTTTGCACTGTAATCATACACAGAGACGCACAAACGTCTATCAGGTTACAGTGACATGTCATTTCTCAGACGGTGTTAAAATTCAGAGCGCTACAAAGTGAGAAATGTGCACCTAAAGAGCCGGAAATGGCGGGTTAGAGCATCTGTGATTGGTTTCTTTCGAATTCAATCACGCACACGCATGCAGGCCATCTGTCTATCTGATACAGACCAAAAGAAGGGAGGGGGCAATCAAGAGCCCATATGAGAGATTAGGCTACAGCTACAGGCCAATATAGCACTGACGTTCAGTTAAATGTGCCTGCTGACAGAGCACATCGTCTCAAACAGCTGGTATCTCATTCTGCTACGTAGGAGAGCAGGGTCCAGACACACCCTGTGGCCACAAGCGTGTGTTTTCATGGGCTTGTGTTTGAACAGTTGGCATTCTTGTGTCAGACATGCTAGGATGAGGCACAACCAGAGCGAACACACACATACACATTTTAACACTCATTGACGTAACTCAGTCCCCACCATGCGATGTTAGAATTTGGGTACGTCTACATTTTACATTTGCATATGGCATTCTCCACTCACAAGATTTCTAAGCCTTCCATCCACACTAAAACTATAGGAAATGCTACAACGATCTTCATTCACTTGTCTAAAATATAGCATACATTTATATACAATTTACAAGTTTAATGTGGAATGTGGAGTTGAAAATCTGTGTTTTAACTCATGATTCAGATCAATGTGGGTCTACTGGGACCTTATGTTACGCCTTTTCAGCTTGTCTGGCTCAATCCAAACTTAATGTGGAGTACTGCATGGTTTGGTACTAGGACCTTTGCCATTTACACCTAGAACAAGCATGGAAAAACATCAGTATTTCAATATACGATCCAGACCAATCATGTAGGTCTACAGGGACTTTACGTCAAGCCTTTTCAACTTGTCTGGCTCTATACAAGCTTAATGTAAAGTACTGCATGGTTCAGTACTAGGACCGTTGCCTTTTACATTTAAAACAAGCATAGAAAATTATCTGTATTTCAACGTGGGATCGAGATTAATCACATAGGTCTACAAGGATTTTACGTTGAGGCTTTTTAACTTGTCTGGCCCTAAACAAGCTTAATGTGAACTACCAAATGGTTTTGTTTTAGGACCGTTGGTATTTACACCTAGAACAAGCATAGAAAAAGATCTGTATTTCAACATATCATCCAGATCAATCATGTAGGTCTACAGGGATCACACCTTTTCAACTAGTCTGTTTCCTTACAAGCCTAATGTTGAGCACCGCATGCTTTGGTATAAGGACTGTTGCCATTTACAATTAGAACAAGCATAGAAAAAGATCTAGATCAGGGGTGCTCAATCCTGTTCCTGGAGATCTACCTTCCTGCAGATTTCAGTTGCTACCCATATTAAACACACCTGCCTGTAATTATCAAGTGGTGTTCAGGTCCTAATTAATTGGTTCAGGTGTGTTTGATATGGGTAGCAACTGAAATCTGCAGGAGGGTTGATCTCCAGGAACAGGTTGGGCACCACTGATCTAGATCAATCAAGTAGGTCTACTGTGACTTTACGTGGAGCCTTTTCAACTTGTCTGGCTCTATACAAGCTTAATGTGGAGTACCGCATGGTTCAGTACTAGAACCATTGCTATTTACACATAGAACAAGCATAGAAAAACATCAGTATTTCAACATATGTTGCAGATCAATCATGTAGGTCTACAGGAACTTTATGTCGAGCCTTTTCAACTTGTCTGGCTCCATACAAGCCTAATGTAGAGTACTGCATGGTTTGAAACTAGGACTGTTGCTATTTACATCTATTGAACAAGCATAGAAATGGATCTGTATTTCAACACATGATCCAGATCAACCATGTAGGTTTACAGGGACTTAACATCGAGTCTTTTCATCTGGTTCTATACAGGCTTAATGTGGAGTACCACAGGGTTCAGTATTAGGACCATTGTTATTTACAGTAAGAATAAGCACAGAAAAAGATCTGTATTTCAACATATGCTGCAGATCAATCATGTAGGTCTACAGGGACTTTATGTCGAGCCTTTTCAACTTGTCTGGCTCCATACAAGCCTAATGTAGAGTACTACATGGTTTGAAACTAGGACTGTTGCTAGTTACACTTAGAACCAGCAAAGAAAAAAGATAACTACTTCAACATATGATCCAGTTCAATCATGTAGGTGTACAAGGACTTTACATCCAGCCTTTTTAACTTGTCTGGCTCTATACAAGCTTTATGTGGAGTACCTCATGGTTTGGTACGAGGACCATTGCTATTTACCGTTAGAACAAGCATAGAAGAAGATCTGCATTTTAAAATATGATCCAGATTAATCAAGTTGGTCTTCGAGGACTTTGGGTTAAGCCTTTTCATCTTATCTGCCCCTATACAA